GGGGTTGACAGAGGTGGGGCAGGGGGGAGACTGCCCTCATAGAAGCCTCCCCAAATTATTACCTGGCCCCAAGTCCAAATGCCACCTACTCTGGGATGACACGGTTCACAAGAGGCCACCCTAATGTCCTAAGCAAGGAAACCCAAGGAGAGTGAGACAAACATGAAGGTAATACTAAAGGAAGAACTCGATTACTCCCTCGATCACAATTATTTTTTCAATCATCAGAGCTGAGATTTAACAAAGGCTCAGTGGACCTGTGGTCAGGACATACAACCTTCTCCCCAAATTTCTGATACCCAAAAGATTTAGTTTGAGGAATGGAGGCCCACAAGAAGCCTCTGAAGCTCAGCTTCCTCACCCCCCCCCCACCCAGAGTCCTATCCAACAAATATGGGAATGTCTGCACAAAAAAAAGGAGCAGGACCCAGACAGTGGTAGAAGATAACATCCCGGCCGGGTGCAGTGGCTCATGCCTGTAATCCCAGCACTTTGGGAGGCTGAGGCGGGCAGATCATTTGAGATCAGGAGTTCGAAACCAGCTTGGACCACATGGTGAAACCCCATTTCTACTAAAAACACAAAAATTAGTCGGGCATAGTGGTGGATGCCTGTAATCCCAGCTACTCAGGAGGCTGAAGCAGGAGAATCGCATGAGCCAGGGAGGTGGAGGTTGCAGTGAGCCAAGATCGTGCCACTGCACTCCAACCTGGGTGACAGAGTGAGACCCCGTCTCAAAAATAAAAAAGAAAGTAATATCCCTCCTTCAATCCCTGACATGCTCTTAGCTCTTAACCCCCAAAATTAGCCCTAAAATGTCTCTGGCTCCCCACTTCTTGAGCTAGACAGACACTAGGGAATGAGACATTAGGCTGGACAAAGCACCATCAGCCTCCCTGCTTCTCAGCCCAGAATAAGACCAGGCACAAGAAAGCCCCTCCCATTCCCCCTTGGGAATGGAACACCAGCCCGGATTTCACCAGAATCATTTTCTTCAGGGCTTTTCCCCAACAATCCCCAAGTCAACCCCCAATCCCCATCAGCTAGCTATATCTCACCACCCCCATAAAAGCTGGAAGTGGAGATAAAGATAACCCATAGAGGCAAAGGGGACATCCTTCCATGCACATGGAACCCCCAAACTTCTCAGGCAAATAATATGCTGAAATGGCAAACAACAAACTGACTGAGATATAGAGGAAGATTTGGGAAAGGGACAGCAATGGGGTGTGGCAAGTGGAAAAAGTGGGTCATGCTACAGCTCAGGACAGAGTTTACAGCTCCTGCGCAGCTCCCAGTCAACATGAAAGGCAGCCCCAGCCCAAGGGGACAATGGGAGGCCAAGATGTGGAACCCACAATGTCTAGGCAGCACTACTGTTTCTCATGCCCCTCTCAGAAGGACGGGGTCCCCTTACCAGCACCACCACCCTGCCCTCACCTTGGGCAAGGGCATGGAAATCTGCCCCTCTACCCTACACAAGGATGAAACCAAGTTTCTCATCCCAACAGCCAAGACTCCATGACAACACTAACCCCTCTCCTAAATGGCCTCAGGTTGAAGTCAAGACTTCCAACTTAAAAAGTACCAAATGTGAAAGCATCTCTCCCAGACCACCTCAACTTCCACTGAAGCTAAGAAGAGAGAAGGCAGAAGTGAATGATGCTGGATGAGAAACAAAAACAGGATTAGCAGGCTCCAAAATGAGAAGAAAAGTAGAAGCAGAAGGAATGAAGAAATGACACACAGGAAAAAAAATGAAACTAGAAAACATGAAAGTCAAGGAAACAAGTAGATGACTTAGCTAGGGGCTCTGAAAAAGGACACAGAAGAGAAAGACATCTGCTTAGGAACATGACATCAACCATCATTTGAGGATAGACAAGGGCTCCCCCAATCAGGCAATGTAGTTATAACCATACGGGTTTGGCCAGTTCATGGAGCCACCCCAAAACACAGATAGAGCAACCCCCAGCACACCTACACAGACGCTTCACACTGCTAGCCTAAACCCCAGGCTACCTTATAGAGGCAGAAGCCAGTAGGAAAAAAGCCAAAATTATGTCCACTCACCAAGAGAAGAGAGATGCCCTCCCTTCTTTTGCCCTTCTTCACTAGGCTATTACATCCTTCCCAAGCCCCCATCACTTCCCCACTCAAAACATTCCAGCAATCTGCCTAGCTAAAAGCACTCCAGATCCTGCTGAGGAGCGCGATTCAAACTTCACACAGCTGAGACAGCACAGAAAACCGGTAACTGATCAGAAGCTAAAAATAATCAGATAGAGTGTAACCAGCACTCCCTCTTTCTTTTCCACAGCGGCAACCACAGGATCCTACTAGCACAGATGCCGGGCTGGTCTTTCAAATAGAATCCTCAGTGCCCCCCTCCGCCACCACCACAAGCCTCCAGGGGTCCCAGCTACCTGCATTCCTCCGAGGACCCACACACAAGGTAATGCCTGCCAGCCCAGAGAGCTCCCTCAACTGGGAACTGCAGAGCATTCCTCAAGACAGAGTGCAGCAAGCTGGCATCTCCGTCCGCGGTGCCCAGGAGGCACATGGCTTCCACCCCCCTCACACCAGAGCTCCGCAGAAGGGAACCACTCCCTTCGGATGCCCTCCACCTCCGGCTCTGCACAGAGACAGTCGAGCAACACAGTCCTGCCTCACCAGAGCAGTCACTCGGGAGAGCCCCAGATGCCTCCTTCCCGCCCTGGGCCCTTGGGGAAGATGTTACCTGGGTGGGGTGGGGGCAGGCTGTTGTTCAAAAGTGCATCCATATCCTCCTCCTCACTGCCCGCCGAGCAGGGGGACGGGGAGCCCAGGCCCGACGCCATCCCCTTCCGCTCCCGGCCAGGGAATTGGCCCAGCTGCTCCTGCCGGCGGCCTGGGGCCCTCTACACTGGCCCGAGTCACTGTGCGGGGGAGGGGGGAGAAACAGAGAACAGTCAGTGACGCGCACTGTCCCCCTCCCCCACACCCACCCGCTCTTTCCGCCCCCCACCCCAGCCACCCTAGCAGGGCACCCGAACCGCTCAGGCTGAACTTAGTTCCACACTCCTTGGGGGCAGCCCGGAAGCCGGCTCCCCGGCAGGCGCCCCCACGGAGCGAGGGAGCGACG